CAAATTTGACATTGAATAACCAACTAAACACATCAACTAATCACCAGTTTTCTAGAAATTTTCTAGGAAATTGTCGATGGAAAAGACAGTGTTTTTTTATAGTATACTTTGTTATGTATTGATATTTTAATGTCGCTATTAGTATCCGATGACACGAACATATACATAATGCAGCTAGATTCCAACATGTAAAAGATAATCTGTTCCAATATTTTGCTTGCTTGTGTCCGTTGACCAAAAAAAGGGAAGAGACAATATTAGGGTATTAGTTACCACTTACAAATGTCAAGATGCCATTATTTAAAATTTTTATACTTCAAATTATGTATTTTCTAAAACTTTTCCATAGCAAATCTTTTTAATAACAAGATCCATTTAGCTAATTAGTTACAATTAATTAATTGACTGTTAAATAAAATTATTTTATATCGTTAATAAACAAACTCTTTTTTTATTATTACTAATAAATAATATTTATTTATTTTAGTGTATTATCATATAACTTCATATGGAGTGATGATTTACCACGTGTTTTCGAGCTTTATAAAATTGAATCAAACAAAAAATGCATGGCCTTTGACAGGTTTACCGGAGAGGGAAGGGACTTATTGGAATTGAATATGCCGAAGACAACCTAGAAGAGGTCGTGAAGTTGCTGCTATGGTGAAGATTTCGACTGTTTTGTATGATGTGAGGTTGTCTACAACTACTGATACACGGAAATGGAGATGGGAGTAGGGATGTCAACGGGACCAATCGGGAGCGTAAATAGTTGTCCTCGCCCCGGCCCAAGGTCCCCCGTTTGCATAGCCCCCAGTCCGGCTTCCGGTTACCTCCATCGCCCCCGATAGGGATGAAGCTTATGTAGGGCCAGGAGGGGTTCTTCCCCCTCCCCCTCCTCCCGTTTTTTTTTCAAAACAAACCCGTAACTATTAGCATTTTTACATATTAAGCCTAAAACTATAAATTTTGACTTTAGGCCCCCCCCCCCCCCCCAAATCAATACTTCAAGCTCCGTCACTGGCCCCCGGCCCCGCTCCCGTTCCCCCAGTTTATAGGCTTAAAATTCAATTTTTTTGCTAAAAAACTGCATTGTTTTAGGTTAAAAATATTATTTTAATAACTTCAAAAGCTTAAAGTATAATGTTTTAGAAACTAAAAAAAATTAAAAATCCAACATTACGAATCCAACATTACAAATCGACAATTCCAACAATCTTAAAAATATAAAATACGTCAAATCCAACATTACAAATATAAAATACTTACATGTCCAAAACTATATGATCAATTCACTACATCTTCAATATCCATTAATTGGAAACGGGAAAGTGAAACCTAACCTAAACCTAAAATTAGAAAATCTATTTTGTATATGTATTTTATATTAAATATATATTTTTTACATAAATATACAACCGAGACCCCGCAGGAGTACGAGACGGAAATACCGACTCCCAACATCGGTCCTGAAAATAAACGTGGTTTAATTCTGCCCACGCTCCCGATTTTTTAAAAAATTTAATCTCGTACAGTGGGGTCCCACGGGAGTTTTTGACATCCCTAGAGGGGAGGTATCGGTTTATTTTAGGAACAATCTTTCAGTTGTTTTTTGGCTAATAAAGTGCTGAATAATACTAATTTGAAGATCTTCAAATGGATTAGTTGGGAGCCCTTGAAAACAAATTGTTTTGTTTGAAGTATGTTTTTAAACCGAGTTCTAGTGGCAAGTAATCTCTCGGGCATTACTATATCTTCATCTCTATCCCTTTTTATAATTTGGTGGAGGAAGAAGTTGATCACGTTTTTTTTTTTCAATTGCCATTTTGCTAGTTGCATTTAAAGATGGTTTGGTTCTTGGACTAGTTTTCTTTTGTTGCATGTGGTCAATAGATATGAGGTCATAAATGTTTTAGGTGATTCGATGCATGGGAGGAAGAGACGTAAACTACGTTTAGGTGTTGTTTGTTTTTCTGAAATCAAAATGTCTGCAGTTTGCGGATCACATCTACAAGCATCTGCGGCAGAAGAGGTTGACCAACTGTTTGTAGTCTGCAATAAGAAGATTGTTTGTCTTTAACGTCTGCAGTTGCTGAAATAAAATGATTTTCAAATTTAATTTTATGTCATAAACATTAAAAATGCATTTTTAGCAAATAAATAAACTGCACAATGGCCTATTTTTTTTAGATTAAAATGAGGTGAAGACCTTTGAAGACAGTGGTCAATGTCTGCGCCAAAAAGACCTTGTGCAGACGGTATTTGATCTGTGCGCTTCCAAAAACAAACACTATGCGATGACATATATCTGAGCGTTATCTGTGCGGCACCAGATAAAAGTAGTTGTGCATATCTACACAAAAAAAAAAAAAAAAAAAAAAAAAAAAAAAAAAAAAAACAATCACTTAGGTAGTGTTTGTTTTTTGTCTGCAGATCTGCACGGCCTCTTCTGTCTGCGTCGCGCAGACCACACGCAGACATTAGCCTTCGCAGACTGTTTGTTTTTTTAAAGACTGCAGACCTAAAAATGTCTGCACGCCCTCTTCTTGGCGCATATGTGGATCAAAGTTTTCTAACATCTTCAGACATCTTCTACCCTAAAAAACATATATATCTTAATTTTTTTCAAGTTTTTTTTAATTTATATTTTTTTTAACTTTATTAATGATAAACAATTTAAAAAAAATTAAAAAACTTAAAAAAAAACGTTTGACAATAGAAACATGATATTTTTGATAAATTTAAAATAAATATTTATTACAATAATAGTCGTTGAAGTTGTTTATATAAATATTTAAAAAAAAATCATAATATACTCTTATATTTTTTTGCCAAATTTTGTAAAATATTATTTAATACAGTATCGTCAATTTCTCGAGAAAATATTTATGGTACGTTTTTAATGGATTTAATTGAAAAATCGAAGTTTATTTCCATCAATTTATGTATCACATTCTTTGATCACTAATTATAATGTTTAGTTATAATTTTGCAACCAAAGTTATTGGTTTTTATCAAATATATACATTAATTCATATCATTTTTATTTTTATTTTCTATACAATAATAAATAAAAGTTGATATAGATTCGTTAATTATTTATAACAAAGTCAAAAAAATATTAAAAAATCACTTTGAAGTTTAAAAAAATCAGTTTATTTTAGTAGTCTGGAGATGTTAAAAAAACAAACAGTTTTTTTTTCCGGACTGCAGACGTTTGGTTCACCTCTTCTATTGTAAAGGTCTACAAATATGATCCGCAGACTGCAAATATTTTGCCTCAGAAAAAACAAACAACACCTTAGCCTTGGTTTACTGTGTTATTTGGTGTATTTGGAAAAGCTCAAAACTTATTGGTGTTCAATAAAAATAAATGCTCTTCCTTAAAAACGACGGATGACATTCAATTTGTGACGAATTAAGTTTCGTTCCAATTATACTTTTTTATGTTGGTTTAAGTTGTATATTTCTCCCTTAAATGCTTCTAATTTGGAATTTTCACTAGCTTCTTGCTAATCTTTAATGCATTCACCCTTCAAAAAAAAAAAAAAAAAAAAAAAAAAAAAAAAAAAACTGTTTGTATCATACATATTTTATCCAACAATAAATTACCTATGATTATATTATAACATTTTCTTTTTTCTTTATTATATCCTTAATTCCTTATATGTTCAAATTATTTTTTAACAGCATGATTATGATTAAATTATCAATAACATGATAAATAATTGTTTGCCATGTAACTAAAAATTCATAAACAATAACAACTTTCTATATAATTTGCCTATGCGGTAGATGAGTAGTTCACTCCAAAACAAGCAGCTTTAGACTTTTTAAACCTGGTCAATGGTTTAGACTTTCTTTTTTTAAATTCAAACGGCTCGGCCGATCTTTGACCATACTTACACCTCTGACCGGCTCCACTCTTAAATTCCCCTGTACCACAAGGACTTGGTAAATGACAAAATTGTCCTTATTTTATCCTTTATATTGCGCTTTTGACATTTCCCATTCATCAACCAATGACCCTATTTTCATAATTGAACAATAAACATTACTTTCATTTTCTTGTCATAATTGGCTAGAGTACAAAGTCTTTATCCTACTATTCAAAGCATTGATTCACCTAGGTTAAAGAGAGGATGGGCTGGGGCACCACCAGCCAATTTTGAAAATTTGAACTTGATTTTATTTTCTAAATATATAATAAAAAAAATATATATTCAAATAATTTTGCCATTATAAAAAAAAAATAAGACAATAGTTAGTACCCATTTGTTGCACTTAATCTATTAAAAAAATCATAAATTATGCCATTACAGTTTCACATAGCAAAAAACAAGATTTTCTATCCGTCCGAAAATTATTATTCACAGACAAAAAACACACTGATTAAGAAAAACATTAATTATCAGTAATTTTATTAAATAAAATCAAAGTCTTACTCTTTTATTGCATTTAATTTCATGATAGTTTAAGTAATTATGAATGTTATATTAGTAAAAGGGATATGTATTTTAAGAAGTAAACTATTAATATGTGATGGAATGAATATCATTTTTAACATTCCCCTAAACCACTTAACTTAAGAATTATATATATATATATATATATATATATATATATATATATATATATATATATATATATATATATATATATGTTTTTTACTTAGAATTTACATGTATTTGACTTTTTTATGGACCGTGATTTAAATGTTTGTCATTTTCACAAGTATTATACGTAAAACGGTGAAATCAAATAAGCAAAAATAATCCTTGAAAGTCATCAAGACAACTACACAAACCATATGTTTGGCAAATACCATTTTTTGTCTTATTTTATACTATTTAGAATATATAAACTATAAAACAAAAAACGAAGACGATACCAAAATTGTCAAAAATGTAATATTATAAATTAATAAAATATAAGGGGCCTTATGGTCATTTCAATATAAATAAAACAACAAAAGCTTAAAGTCGTATTTACTAGGGTAGGTGGTATCCACCTTGAAGTAGCCGTTAGGCCCGTTACAACTCATCCTTCTCTTCTCTGCTTTAACCTCCCACTCCCGCCCTCGGAGTTAACATGTTTATCGTCGGAGATTCTACCTCCGACCACCAGTGAGCAAATCAACGATGCCTCCGAGCATTGTAAGGTTGTGCAATATGAACGACGGACATGTCAACGTCAAGTCGCTGGAGCCTTTTTCCGTCTTGACTTCTCTGAAAAAGCGAAAACGTCCGCCGATGATTGAGATCCCTAATGTACTTCAGGTGATTGAATCCGCTGCTGAAAAATTCAGACCGAAGAGTTGTGAATCCAGATCTGACGTGTTTTCGTCTAGTGGATTCGGTGTTGGTGTTTGCTCCGTCAAAGGCAGGAAATTATGTATGGAAGATACTCATACGGTTGTTTCTTCTTCGAACACTGACAAGGTACATCGAAATTCCTAACGATTTTAGAGTTTTGTTGGTGAAATTATTCATGTAAATTAGTTCGTGTGTATTGATTTGCTGCTGAGATTTTTATGTACCTAAAAGAGTAGTTAGAGAATCGAGATCGATTTTTGATGTTCGATTAATTGTTTTTGTCGTTGTGAAACTAGGGTTTCTTCGGGGTTTATGATGGACATGGAGGCAGGAAGGCTGCGGATTTTGTAGCGCAGAACCTACACTCGAATATATTCGATATGTTAGAAAAATCCTCGGGGAATACAACAACAGAAGAAGTTGTTAAAGCTGCATTCATGAAAACAGATGATGAATTCCTGAAACAGGTTCGTGTTTTCATTTTGTATTGATGAACCTTGGATTAATCGTGTTTTGAGTTATGAACAGTAGTACGCGAACAAACCATAGATATTTCAAAATGCCTGAAAAACACTGCACTCGTAGGATGATTACTTGTTCTCAAATCAAACATCCTCGTTTCAAAAGTTAACAAGTCTCCATTTTCCGAGGTGGAATGGTGAATTCTATTCCAGTTCACATTACATCAATGGTGTTCTTCAACCATCGAACTTATCTTTCTTCACAAACTAACCATTTTAATGAAAATGCCAAAATCACACTCTAGTCCATGACTTTCGATAGCTTTCTTGCCCACGTGTCACAAGAATTCTACTACAAAGTGGCGTGCACAAACATGGCATTGTTTATCGTGACAAGAATGTCAAACATTTGCTTAACAACAATTTGACTAATTCTTATATATTCTACTATTCAACAAGTTTCTTAAGAGTTGTTTACATACATGTTTACTCATTCAACTATTCAAGATCTAGACTTAGTCATATCATGCTAACGACATAGTCCCATTCCCATACCCAATGGTAAATTTAACAATTCCCGCTATAATTGACCTCTTCTTTAAAAGAATAAAATTCCTAACAAAAATATCAAATACTAAACTGTATTTTATAACTATAAACATTTTTTTTCCCATTTTTTATGTAGGGATTAGAGAGTGGCTCTTGCTGTGTAACAGCCTTTATTGAAGGAAAAGAGCTTGTGGTTTCAAACTTAGGTGATTGTCGAGCTGTTCTTTCAAGAAAAGGAAAGGCTGAAGCTTTAACTAAAGATCATAGAGCATCACATGAGGATGAACGAAAAAGAATACAAGATAAGGTACACAATTGAATTAATTAGTATTTTTATTAAATAACAAAAAGATAATGTAATTGAGAGTTCAATTAAAATTGAAAGTATGTTGCTATTTTTTTGATTTAGGGTGGATATGTGGAGCTTCATCGTGGGACTTGGAGGGTTCATGGTGTACTTGCAGTGTCAAGGAGCATAGGTGATGCTCATTTGAAAGATTGGGTATTGGGTGAACCTGAAACGACGATTTTACCCCTAACGGATGATTTGGAGTATCTAATCTTGGCTTCTGATGGACTCTGGGATGAGGTATACAACACATTTTACTTATATTATTTTATAAATTTTAGACAAAATTACACAAATGGTTATTGTGGTTGGCAAAAAAATTACCACTACAAAGCACTCATAAAGAAAAATAAGGGCAAAATGGTCATTTTATCAACACTTAACGCCTCTTTTGTAACGGAGTTACTCATGAGGACCTCAGGGATTGCTCATGTTCAAAATTCTTCATAAGGACTTGTTGTGTTATTCTTTGCAAACCACAAGGACCATTTATGTAATTTTGTATATAGATATCTCCTAACTTATTATGTATTTATTTAAAGGGAAAATGTTAGAATAATTGACTGTAATATTAGTAAAAGCCACCATTAATGAAAGTCTTTTGTTTTTTCTTTTTCTTTTATGAAAAGCAATTTGAGATTTTCAAAAAAGCTGAATTAGAATCTTTTACCTTCAAATGCAAAACATGAACACAATCTTGGATTTGCTAACTTTCTATAAAAAGGAGTTTTTGCAGCATTTACCATTTATTTAATTTATATCTTTAATATTAAATCATTAGAATCACACTATTAAAAATTAAGTTACAGTAATTAAGATTTAAATTAAATAAAAACTATAGTAATTAAAAAATAAAATAAGATCTTTTTTATAAAGGAGCACATTTGTGTTCATTATTTTATATAAAATCACAAAACAATGTACTTTCTTTATAAAAGATATACATTTGTGTTCATTATTTTATATAAAATCACAAAACAATATACTTTCGTTTATAAAAGATATACTTAATATCTATGAATGAAAGTCTATGGTGGTGTATTTTATTAAAAATAAAACATAATATTTTTTTATATATTGATAAATATAAGTAAATGTCATAAATGTTATTATTATTTTCTTCACAAATAACTTATCTTACCTAAAACATTAAAAAAAAAAAAAACGTTACAGTGCCTCAAATAAAGACAAAAGGTACAAAAGAGTTTGCTAGAACCAAAAATGTAAATTTTATAAAAGAAGGGGTGTAAATTGTAATTGTTAGGTAATTTAAAGTGCTTGAGTGAACCGTTTGAAAATAATTTGGGTTTTCAGGTCGGAAACCAAGAAGCTGTTGATATGGTGACACGTTGCATGAGGAATGTTTCATCAAAACCCAAGAAAGTTTATCGAGTGAAGCAAATAAAACAGAGAATTAATAATAATATTATTAATAATAAATGGAAAGAAACTGAAAATGAAAATGAAAATGAAAATGAAAACGAAAATGAGGAACCCAGTTTGAAGGTTAGACGTATATCACATGTTGACCAAGTCAACGGCATGATGCCATTGCCATGTGGCCTTGTAGATTCCTGCAAGGAGCTTTTGAACCTTGCTGTAAGTAGAGGTAGTTTAGATGATATAACAGTTATGATACTTGACCTCAAAGCTTTCAACTAACTATGTAGTTATAGTATGTACATTGTGCATTAAGAGATGTACCTTGTCGTTAGTTAGATTTCGCATTTTTTCCTCTCTATTCGTTACCCGTATATTTATAAATTGTATTAGGATTTCAATATTTTGTTGCATATGTTTGTCAAATGTATCAAAAACAACCATTTATTGTGAATCTCAATGTTAAAGAAAAAGATGTTATTTATTGTTGCCTAATAATTCCAATCTAAAACGACTTTGGAGCCATTGGGCTAAAATCTAGAACAATTTGATGATATATTTGATGATCTATATAATTATATATGATGCTCTTCGTAAACAAAGAAGAGTTGAAGATACAGTTGGGATTGAAATGTATTTAAGAGGGTTTTGACATTAAAGTCGTGAAAACTACAAAACATATACAGTTTTGAGGCTAAATGTCGTGAAAAGAGTGTTCTTGGAGAATTAGGGATATATGACCTAAAGATGCTAATTTATTCCAAAGTTCAAATATTAGAGTATAAATGCACATGTATGTATACAAACCCAAACACATTCCAACCATCGCCAAGCAAGGAAAAAAATATTGGCACGTTTTTTGAAGGACGTAATAGTTGGTAATAATAAGAGGGTGTATTGTAGGAAACATATGTTAGCGATTGGTGTATAATCATCATAAGCATTATTGTATAATCATCATAAGCATTAAGACATTAGAATTCTAAGATCGAACCAAAAACCATGGATCTATTTATAACAACATAAACCAATAATAATTCAACAAGGAAAGTAGAATTGTACAAAGCCTTGACAACAAATTATCGGGGCAAATAACCATAAATAGTTGCTCCATACTTGTCATCAAGCATTAACAAAATGTCTACTTAAATCATATACGTAAATAAAAATAAATAACAGTAGAAAATACATATAAAATATTAGTTATAGATACAAAATTGCAGACTTAAATTATGTCTTACAAACGACGTGATTTACCAAAGCTTGTAAAAGCGTAAAGTTTAACATTACCGACAAAGTCACGCCTTATGTTATTTAGAAATTTGCTCCATGCATAAAAAATAACAATTGATAAACAACGAGCTAAATCCAACCTTTCTTCCTACTTTTTTGAAGTCGACACCTATATATATATATATATATATATATATATATATATATATATATATATATATATATATATATATATATATATATATTCAAAAGAAAGATTAGATATCTCAAAGTACTTTGATGTATTTTTAATAGTTTTTTTGGTAACTATGGTTTTTTTTAGGTTTATGCATTTTCTATATAAGTCAAAGTTGCGAATAATTTTTCTGAAATTAATTTCTAAAAACGATTAATTATTTGGGTCAATAATTTACTACAGTAAATAAATAGTGTGTTTGTTGAAAACTCGATTCAAAGTAGTCTTAAAGACTCTTGTACTCAACCCACATGGATATATATATATATATATATATATATTATATATATATATATATATATATATATATATATATATATATGGTTTAACAATAATTAAATATATGAATCGATTCATTTAATTCAGATTCATCCACAATAGCACAAAGATATAAAATACTTTAAATAGTAACCAAATTATAAGCCAACGAATAGTTTGTTTTAACAATTAGTTTTTTTTCCGGCGGACAATGATTAGTTTCAATTCAACAATTAGTTTGGTTTAGAAAACATATCATATTATAAATACGTTATCAGAAATTAGAGTTTACAGATTAATGTTTAGTGTCGAAGGGGAGGGGGTCGCTATGATATAGTTTTATTTTTAAAATATAATATGTTGTTTTTGGTTAAAACTAAAAATATGTGTTACTTCTGTTAACATAAATAATTACATTGGTGTTATGGGTTACAAATAAACATATGTTACTATTTGTTAAAATGACGCAAAAATATGATTATGTTTTAGGTTAAATGTGATAATTTTTTTTTGAGTTTAAAAAAGTATCTTTTATATATATATATATATAATATATATATATATATATATATATATATATATATATATATATATATATATATATATATATTGTATAAAAACAGCCTTTATTGAAGGAAAGGAGCATAGGTGATGCTCATATGAAAGAACGGGTATTGGGTGAACCTGAACCGATGATTTTACCCTGGACGAATGAGTTGGAGTATCTAATCTTGGCTTATGATGAAATCTGAGATAAGGTATTACTTATATTTTGTAGACAAAATTACACAAATACTTATTGTTGTTGGCAAAAAAAAATAACACTACAATGTCCTTATTAAGAAAAATAAGGGCAAAACTATAACATCTTAATTTCTAGGTATTTTCAAATTTGACTCGTGATTTGAGTTTAGTTTGCAAATTTAGTCCCAAATGGCATTTTTGTAATTTTTAGGCAAGGCTCGCATACATTGATCATACGTTTCGTATATTGGGCATATGTTTCGTACGCTGGGCGTGTGTGGCCAGGGTGCAAACCCTAAATTTTAGGGTTTGGACCATATTTAAGCATTATTATAGCTTTATACCCTTCCTTATCTTCAGCCTCCATCCCTCTCTCGAAACCCTAAAGTGTGTGAGTGTGTTTTGAAGCTTGGAGATCCATTTTAGTGCTCTTGGTGGTGAAGGAGGAACCTAGAATTTGTGGTGTTTCACTCAAGGCTTTGGATCTAGCAACTACACTCTCTTGTGTATCTTCTGGAGGTTTAAAGCTCCAAACTTGATGAATATTTCATTAAGATGTAGTTTAGCTTAAAGTTGGCACCTTTTTGTCCTAATTCTTGATCATCATGAGCATGGCATACTCCATGATCTTTGATTTGTTGTTTCAGATGTTTTAGGGTGTGTTAAGTCATTAAAATGTGATCTTGGACATTAGCTTCTTTCCATGCATGATCTAGGTTGTCTTAATGGGTCAAGAAGCTAGGATTTTTGATGTTAATGTCTTAATGGCCATGCAAAACTATAAACTTGTCAACTTCATGGTTAAGAACACCTTTTAAGTATAGATCTAGATGTTGGATGTAAGTGCTTAAGTATTAAGCACTTAATGGGCTGAGTGGGTGGCAGATGCGTACGCTGCACGTACGTGGTCAACCCTTCGTCGTTTGGTCAAGCATGCAGTATGCCCCGCGTACGTGTTAAGTACACCTAGCATACTCACCCAGTTAACCCGGTTGACTCGGATGACTTTGACTTAGATTTGGACCAAAGTTGACCTAGTGGTATTTTAGGTATTTTGATCTGTATTTTGAGTTTACTGATAGAGTTGATTTCGAAGCAGCGTATTGTTTTAGTTTCTCATCTGGATGTAAGGTGAGTTTTCTCACTATATCTACGGGTCAAAAGCACCAATGCCCACCCATTATAATGTTATGTAGAATGATAGTTGTTTTGTGACTTATACGTGTTTGCATGTTTGGGTTGAAATACACCTCGGGCCCACTATGACATGTTTAGGTTGAAATACACCACAAGGCAGGGCCCACTATGGTATATCAAGTTGAAATATACCCCAGGGCAGGACCCATTATGGCATGTTCAAGTTGAAATATACCCTAGGGTGGGGCTTACTATGGCATGTTCGGGTTGAAATATACCCCATGGTGGGCCCCATATTTGTTTATTAGGTTGATATATACCCCATATTTGTTTATTAGGTTGATACGTGCAAACATGGAGGAAATTGATGTTCATTCCAGATACAATATGTTTTAAAACCAAGATTTTTGAATTTGTAATCTTTCCATTCTTTTCACATAAAAGGTTAATGTCAACATTCTCATTTCAAAACAGATGGGCATCCGACTGTATTTTCCATAAGGTTAAACCATGATGGAAAATTTATTGATTTTACAGGAAGAAAGTATACCAGGGGAAAATTACATTATGTTGACTTACTTGATATTGACGCATTTTCGGTGCTTGGCATTGACGATATAATGGAAAAACAAGGGTATGTTGAACCTCACCTTGTATCGGAGAAGATGTACTATCATTTTCAAAGACCTTTATGTGATTTGGATTTTGGTCTTTTTGCTTTGGGTTCTAATGATGATGTTCGCCATTTGGCTCGATATGTTAGTCAACATAAGCAGATAGATGTGTACAGGAAGCATGGAGAAACCAAACTGCATACATACTCAATGTCCCCCAATCCATGTAAGGTGTGTATAATTGAAATTGATCAATATACTAATTGATCTAAACGATTGTTTTTGAATTGGCATGATACTACTGAACCTTAAATTGAAACCCAAGTTGAACCTCAAATTGAACCACAAGTTGTACTTGGGCAAGACAGTGTCACAAACCAAACCAATGCATTCGATCAAGACAATTTTATAGCTAATGTGGACATGAAAAGTGAACATGACCGTTTTGGAGCCAATACGGACATGGAAAGTGAACATGATATCAGCGGTGATGATGTGGATTATATTGTGGACAAATATAATATGATACATGATGTAGATGTTGATATCCATGATTTCCACATGAACATTGACCACAATGTTGAATGGGCTGGAGGTGCAGCTACAACAACCACCCCGGAAGCCTTACAAGAAGATGAAGAACTTTAAGTGCTTGATAATGATGTATTCTTGACTTATTCTTCATCAGATGAAGGAAATAAGGGTCAACATAGGAAAACTATCAAAGTTGTACGAATGGCACATGCTAATGAGAATGCCTATGTTAGTGACCCAATATATATATATATATATATATATATATATATATATATATATATATATATCAGACTTTCAATACTTCAAAAGATTTCAAGGACTTGGTGAAACTACATGTAATAGAGATGAGAAGGGAATTGGAGTTGGATAAAAATAACAAAAATAGGGTGAGGATTATGTCTAGGGGAACCATATCAACTCTAAGTGGTATGGGAGTTAGTGGGGCCAGTTAAGAAATAGTCAATGAAGAGAATAAACACCCATGGACTGTTTAGATTAGCAAATAGAAACGTGACATTAAGTGGAGTGTTCAAAAATACATAAAGGAACTACGGTGTCTTCAAACAAGGGCATTCAAACAATGTGAATACCAGTTTCTAGCAATTGATATTCTACAATATGTCGAAACAAACCCCCATGTTCATGTTAGGGCTTTAAGGGAACAACTCCAACGTAAGTATAGGGTTGAAATATCTAAGATGAAAGCATTTAGGGAGCAAGAAGAAACTTTAAAAATTGTAAGGGGTGATTATGCTACTCAATACACCTTATTACGCGATTACTTGTTGGAGGTACAAAATCGTAACCCAGATACCACTATCATCGTTGATGTCGAGACTGAACCCAATCCAGACGTTGAGACAATAATCTTCAGGCGTGTGTATGTCTGTCTTGGTGCTTTGAAGAAGAGATTTGTATAAGGAAAATGAGACTTTCTAGGTCTTGATGGTGCCTTCATGAAAGGACCATATGCGGGTTAATTACTATCTGTTGTGGTAAATTATACATTCCTTATGTTTTGGTGCTTCCTATTTTTATATGTTGTGTATATTTCTCTCACAGGCTTTTGATGGTAATAATGGTGTATATCCTTTGGCATATGTTGTGGTAGAAACAGAGACCTTAGATTCATGGACATGGTTTTTAAGTCATTTAGGGGATGATTTAGGTTTAACAACCAACTCAAATTTCACGTTTATGACTGATAGACAAAGGTACTTTCAATTTCACTTGATGAAAGGAAATAAAGTCTCAAGAGCCTATAAAACAGTTACATCTACCAATTGTAACAATACAGGTCATAATGCAAGGACCTGCAAAGGGAAAAGACCAAATGATGGTAATGATGGTGGAAAGGCTAAAGGGAAAGAGAATGACAAAACAAAAGGGAATGACAAAGGCAAAACAAAGAGGCAATGGAAGGGAACAATCGGAATTAAAAGTTGGTTATCTTTTGGATTTCTTTTCATGTAATGTTAAGTACTTTTGATGTTTAGGTAATTTTTATGGTTATAGTGTGGTTGTAGTACACTGAACTTTTGGTAATTGTTATGGTTGTAGTACATTGATCTTTTGGTAATTGTTTTGGTACTTAAAATGTTTATGTAATTGATGATTAGGTACTTATCATGGTTGTAGGATGGATTTTAATGGTTATGTTATGTTATGTTATGCTACTTTTCACAGTTTTGTTTTAGTCATCTTGATGCTTCTGTTATGGTTGCGTTATAGGATGATAATAGCAACTTAGTATTAAATATGTATTACCCAAAACAATTATGCATCACAACAGAAAGTACACACCATAACACCGTTTTAATTGATCCAAAACAGTTTCATTACAAAAAACACGCATAGGTAGCAACGTACTCTACAACTTTCATTTAGACTCCGTCGGTTAATTTTGAATTTATTTTTAAAGTTATATTTTAACAGACTTAGATAGTTAAAATCCGTTAAAAGTTCGTACATTTGTCATCCGACGTCCGTTTTCATTTGTCTTTATATCATTGAGCTCCTATTAATGAGATCTTTGGTTCTCGTTTAGGTTGTTTGTAACACTCCAAACCAGGTATTACTGTGGAAGCCCTTGAAATTTCAATTATTGCATAGCAAGTCCCTTAAGTATGTTGGGCGTACTTCATGATTACGCTTAGCGTACCATGCATGGATGATAATGAAGAGCCAGCACGTACGCTCGACATACTAAGAGTACGCGGGGCGTACGTGACGGATGCTAAAACCCTAATTTTCTGGACTTGATACTTATTTAAACATTCTTAAGCCTCTTGGACCTAACCCTAGAAAGCCTCCATAGCCTTAATTCGTCCTTCCACACCGGAGATAGCTTGTGAGATCAGTTTTGAGCTTAAAGAGGGTATTTGTGGCCATTTTAGTGCCCATTCAAGAAGAAGGATTTGCTAAGCAAGCTTGGAGTGGCCTTGGACATTAAGGATCTGTATCTAGTTCACCTTGAAGAGCTTATGGAGGTATAAAGCTTTGATCTTGCCATCTTATTCATTAGATCTAGTTAGGGTTTTGTTTGGTCCCTTTTTGTGTTCTTGAACCACCTCTTGAGAGTTTGAGCAACTCCAACGCTTAGGGAGGATAGATCTGAAGTCCTCTGATTCATTCATAGCATAAAAATGAAGTCTTGATGGGTGTTTTGACCTCATGCATGGATTAAGAACCTTGGAAAGGTCTTAATGGGTTGTTGGGAGTATAGGGGACATGCAAAGGCATAAACTTGCAAACTTTATACCTTAAGACGTCTTAATGAGGTCAGATCTAAGGTTGGGACGTTAAAACATAGAGTATTAAGCACTTAATGGAAAAGGTGCTTAATCTGTTTGTACGTTGGGCGTAACCTAGAGTACACAACGCGTATAACTCAAGGACTAAGTATGTTGAGCGTACCAGGGTGGTACGCAAGGCGTACACACAACATACGAACTTATACTTGTTTTGGGCTTGTAAGCTTTTAGGCCTTAATTAGTTATTAGGCCTGATCGTGTTTTGGGGTTAGTGGGCTAGTTTATTTGTTTTGTGCCATGGATGTTATGGTTGGGTTTTATTGGGCCGTGAGGCCCATTAATGATTTTGGATATGGACTTTTGGCCCATTAACAAAGGAAGACTTTTGGGGCCATTATGAAAGGACTTGGGGGTTTGGGTTCTTCACTTAGATTGTGTTTGGTGCTAACCTTAAGTAATGTTATTATTGTTCAACACGAGTGGTTAGGGACTGTTAGGAGAGCAGCTTTTGGAATCTTCAGATAGAGGCGAGTCTCCTTACCATACCATTGGGTCGAAGGCACCAAGGTTAAACCATTTTGTAATGTTTGGCATACT